CGGTTTGGCGAGGCACCCGTCGGGGGTGACCGGGACGGACTTCACGGCCTCCTGCGGTTGGCGCGCCCGCAGGATCACGGGGTGGGCCACCTGTGAGTACTCACAGCGGAGCTGGAAAAGAGTTAGTAAAAGATTACCCATCACACATCAATCTGTTTTTCTTTCTTTCCCTAACTAAATGGTCAAGGGGAGGAAAGGATGTGCGTAGGAATTTGTTTGATTTGTACGCATTTAAGCACTTTGAAGCGAAGAAAAGCAATGTTCTGAGCGCCACACCATGTTTTTCCCCTTTTTCCATTTCTTTAAGAATTTCTTTGCGCATTGAACTATGTCAGTAGATGAATCCGTGCATAAGTAAGAAAAGAAGGGGGCTGAGAAATTCGTACACAACGCATGGCATTCAGTGAACTATTGAGTATATATAGAATGGTCAACAATAAGGAAAAGAAGGGCAGACGGTGTGCAAAATTCATAAGGAATATATCATGCACTACCTTGTCTAATGTGTGGTACTCTATCACAAGCGATGTGTTGTGGAGTCCCTACCCTAGGAATTTAAAACGAAGCCCAATATTTTTCAGTGATGATAAATATATATCCAAATATATTTTTTGATTTGAAAAGTTCTTCGAGAATCCACAAAAAAAAAACCCTCCAAGAACATCAGTGTCCGTACATTCGGTTTGTATGCGGTATTAACATTGCTATTACCAAGGTAGCCTTTCCTATTGAAGCCCCTTGTTAGCTCTCCACACGTACACCGTCTTAGAGCGCAAAGACTCTGTAAAATCGCTAACCTTCCACACCATGGGTCTTTTAAACAACAAGTAGTTAGTATTAGAGGTACAGATCTCTTGTCCCAGTTGATGTTATCCATAACAGGGATGTTTCTTATATATTTTTTACCCTTTTTCTTCATGGCTTTCAATTTCACAAATGAGTCTGACTGTATCGTTTGTTGAGAATGGAATATAGTTCCAAACTAGGTTTCGTAGGATGTGAAGAAAGGATCATAATCTATGCGTGAGGAATACGATATAAAAGCAGAGATTAGTGACATTTGAGAATACATACAGGGAGGGGGAGTAGATAACCGTACACTTAGCCTCTCCAGTCTGGCACGCGACTATCAAGACGCAGAGACTGTGTGTTAGCTATCCTAGCCCTCCTCATTGAAGCTAATCATCTAACTACATAATTATAGAGATAGAGTAGATAGCAAAAAAATGAGAAAAAACGATAACAGGATTAATAGTAATTATAATAAAAAATCCAGTCAAGGAATCTACTTCCACAAGGAAAATGATTTTGTCACAATTTCTTTCCATATGGTGTCCAGGAGAACAGCGATTATTGTAGTATCCAAGAGATGTACCCCTGGATACATTTTTTAGATGCAGTAATTCCCGTGCTCCAGACTCAAATCCTTCACACATTAGAATAATTTAAGTTCAGACCACTTTTCTCGCCATTAAGCTCTTTTTATGAACGGTGATATTTAATTAATAGACGAATATTAGTAAGTTCTAGAAGACACCCTTTTTCCACATATAATGTATATATTGAAAAATGTTTAATGAAGAAAGGACATACAGAAAAAATGATCATTTTCATCTCATAATTCTTCTTTAGATCACCAATAAAAAAGATAAAAAATAAAAAGACTTTATATGATTGCATAACATTTTCAAAGCATATATGAACAGATAGACTATATCGGCTCTAACTATGAATCGGCAGTATCTTACACGACCATTTCGGGGTTTTAAGGTCTCTATTGACATTCAAACATCAGCGAACAATTCATCAATCTCTTTTTCGTATTTAGCGCTTATAGATCTACGCAATAGCTTCATTGATGCGGACAAAAGTCTATTCTCAGGTGTCCACAACTCAGTGACGAAACCGATACGACGAATGCATTCGAAACGCTTTTTTTTAGCCTGTTCAGCATGCGAGGCCATGGATTCAGCCGCAGCCTTTCGGAATTTCGGATCGTTCAAAACTTCAGGAAAGTCGGAATCACAAGAAAGATGGTGCTGCTTAATAAACTGAGCAATTTTACCCTCATCAGTCACAGCCAAA